GAGAGGAGACTTCAGCATTAGGGTCAGTAATGGCTAGAACAGGCGAGGGGTTGGCAATCCAAAACCCCCAGAGCAGAGTAAATAGGGACACTCCACATTTGATCTCTCTCTTGTGAGTCCTTGTTTATTAAGAGCTAATAAATGTGCCTCTTTATCCTCCCCATCTTCCAGCAGGTAACTGTTAAGCTAAGCATGGGACCTCCTATTCTCCGAAAACTAAACAGCCATTCTCTGAAGTAGTCATTGAAGTCGATAACTCTCAACCTGATTGCACGTGAGAATCACATGAGGTGTTTTTTCAAAATATCCAATGCTCAGGCCCCCCACCTCCAAAGATTCAAATCGAATTGGACCGGTGCAGATATTGAAGTCAAGCTCTGAAGATTATGCCACAATTATTGAAAACATTCTTGAGTAATACTTTCAAGTCTTATTCTTCTGAAAAAGCCTGTTCTGGAATCAAGAGACTAGACAGACTGTGTCAAAAGACAGCTCAAGGAGCCTTCGTTAGCAAGATTTTTAGCAGGTGTTACAACCCCAAAATAAAGAAAACTTTAAAGGCTCTGTGCTCACATGGGTTTTAGAAAAATCTAAACTCGAAAAAGCACTTAATATTTACTTGCCACAGGATTTTTCATCAGCCTTGCCATGTCACTATGCATCTTGACTTTCCAGAAAGAGGCTATGAATAGCACGCAGCATTTCCAAATTTATTTGACCAGAGAATTCCCGTTTTCTTTTTGTTTTCTAAAATGGCTCTAAGAATATCTACTATGTTGAAGAAGTATCACCTACCATATATGGTATTCTTTGTGCTGAGAGGTTTTTAAAAAGCCAATTTTAAAGGAAATTTTAACAAAAAGCAGATAATCATCTACCTGGTGCTAACCATGCTTTTTGGCTTAATCGTTGAGATTCACTTCTCTATATAGCAAGCAAACCACTTGGATGGTGGATAATCAGATAAATTTTATATTCTTCCCACTGCAGAATGGAGTCCATATCCCATCCCCTGAAATACGAATAGACTGGGACTCTTCTAACTTGAAGGATTGTGGACCCTGGGTCACAAGGACCAAGCAGCTTTTGCCACTGCTGGAATGTTGCACTTTGAGCTGTAAGCTCCAGGGACCTAAGAAATCTGATGATCCTGGTAGCCCAGACCCAGAGGGAGACGATATGCGCGTAGGTACAAAGGTCAGTCTTTTAGCTGTTCTTACCAAAGTATCTGGTAAGTGCGTGAAGAAGCTACCACTTGATTCTAAACCCTCATCCTTCACGTCTCTCAGCTCTTCAACTCTCCCAGCTGAGGCACAGATGTTCTGAAACAGAAACAAGTCATCCCCACTGTGCCCTGTTGAATTGCTGATTCAAAGTCTGCAAGCAGAATACAAGTTTTGGGGTGGTTCATTATGCAGCAGGAGATAAGCAGAGCACTAAGACAGTTTGCGAAAACATAGCAAACCCCAATCACAATGAAGCACACTGAGTGTGGGAAGGTGTGAGGGGACAGGAGGAGGGCAAGTTACCTCCACAGGTAAATGCAGAGGGCCTAAATCCATGACTCTGTTATTCCTAATGTTAGGGAGATGTCCCTCATGGTACCTATACAGAGGATACGTCAAGGGCTTGGGAAGGAAGGGCTGGGCATTGAAAGGCCTTGGCTTATTCCTCATTCATGTGGCCTGACACCCTGCCCATCAGAACCCTGTGGCCAGCCACAGTGTCCAGCCAGCCAAAGCCAGGGTCTTGTGTCCCTCCAGCCTGCTTTCATCTCAGGCTGGCAGGGCCAGCTTCCAGGAGCACCTGCCCCAGGATCCTTCCCTCCTTCCCCTGCAGCCAGCTAACCTCGCTCTCAGCCTAAGAAAGGGATGCCGTGCCCTGATTGTTAAAGGGATAAAGGAAGAGCTAGGGGAAGGCCATGGAGATTATGGGAGAATGAGGTAACTCAGGGACCCATAGAAGCTGGTTTTTAATAAAGGCGTTTGTGATCTTATTTGTATATAACTGGTTATTACCATATTTGAATTTCATCTGGACCCAAAGTTGTTATCATGTTCTGAAATATCAGCATATTTATATTCTGATCTGTATTCCCACTTATTACATTTGCACTTCCTGCAAGACAAAGCAGTCTAGTCTCATAGAGACGATGGAGGAGGGGAAGAAAGAGGCTAATGGAAGTCCCATCATCCCGGTTTGCTCAAAACTAAGAGGGCTTTCCAGATAAGGATTTTCAGAAAATCCTTATCTGGATTTTCTGATAAAACCTGGAAATTCCTGGGGAAATTAGGACAGTGGTCATCCTCGAACCAATATCTCCAGTGACCGCATAGAGTACAGCCCTCCAGAGTAGGATGAAGGGGAACAAGAGTCTCTCCTGCTCAGACACCCTTAGGGGCCTATAGGAGCACACAGCCCCAGAACAGGCTGTGACAATGGTGTCCCCAGGACAGAGCTTCGGTCTCCCAGACCAGGGTGCTCAGGACTGCTTTGGAAAACACAGGTTCAACATGACTCAGTGGATGCTTCTCCTCTGTTCTTCTCAGAGCCCAATAAGCTCCCTATTTTTCACTCCTCTCCCCAGGATCCCCCATGGGGAGCAGGTGGAGCAAGAAAATGCCACCAGGAAGAGGTCCAATCCTCATCTTCATCATCACCATACCCAGCAGCAGCAGCATGACCCTGTCTTTACCCAGCACTTCCGGTGGACCAGGCGCCGTGCTAAGGGCCTCCTGGGCCACTTACCGCCCTCTCAACACCACTCGAGGGGAATTCAGAGGATCTCAGTGACCTACCTAAAGACACACAGGTAGTAACGCCCCAGGCGGCGCAGAGCCCAGGTCTGTTCAGTCAGTGACATGGGCAACGATCCTGGTGGCAGAGGCTCCTTTCTTGTCCCCACTCCCTTCTCTCATGACATAATATATTTGTTTCTAGGGACTTCCAGCCAAGGAAAGAAGTTGTCTCAAGCCAAGACTTTAGGAACAAAGAGAGCCATTTCATAAAAAAAGTCAAACAACATATACTTGTCAGAAGTTTCACCAGAGGGCAACTAATAGCCAGCATTTAATGAGCAATTCCTGCGGCCTGGCACAGGCGAAATGCTCCACACATCTTCTTTCATGAGCCATAGAGAAAAACAGTCTCTCAGACTGAGCCTCACCCTTGGAGCCGGTGTTTCATCAGACCCCACCGTTCAGGCGCATGTCGCTCTCTGTGTCTCAGTTCACTCACTGCGAAGAAAGCTAGATAGTACTAGTTTCTACTTCACGGAATTATTGCAGAGATTCAGTGAATTAATATGTGCAAAGCACTTAGTGCCTAACAAGTAGCAAGAACCCAGAAAGCATTTGATTCTGTGATTGGGCTTCCAAACCAAAGCAGATCATCTCAGGAACCAAGGAACTAGGGCTCAGGATGGGTGTGAGAGGAGTTGCTGTACTGTGAACAGCAGTAGAACCTCTGGCCTCAGCAGGATTCTATCCACCTGCCTTTACCTCTCAGCTCCCAGAAAGATTCCCAAAAATGGCTGTTGGATGCTGAATTCTTGCCCGTTGTTTCCTTCCCCACCCCCACCCCACCCCCACCAAATCCTAGTTAATAGTACCAAGCATGGAAACTGGGCAGCCCATTGGCAGGAGCTTCCTGCTTCCCACTCCCTATTGTGCCTCGCCCTCTCCTGCCTTGCTTTCTTGGGTGGCCCAGTCCCCTTATCCAGACTGGTACAATGACCACCCTCACCAACCCCTCCAGGACTTTCTGAGTCACCCTCCCTGCAGTTGGCTGAGCTGCTTCCTAAGAAATACACCAAAGCTGGTGGGTGCATCGCAACTTCTGACTCAGCATTAGAGATGGTGTTTGGGGGCCTCTTGTGAGACCAGGTTGCCGAAATAGTCTATGGATATGGATGTCCCATGTCACAGATGAGGAAACTAAGGCTTAGCGGATCCGATGGTTACTTGGGTGGCAAGCAGTGATACCAAGATTTGTGCCCAGGTCTGTCCGATGGCCATCTGGAATTCTTCCCATATTATTGTTCCCCTCTTATGCACCTTTGTTTAACTTCCCACACGGCAGGTTGTCCCATTATTTTGAAGAATTCACTCTCCTGAATGGGTTGAAAGCAGCAGCCATCTCTAGTAACCTGCAGCCATCCACTAACCTGCATGGTGGGCATGCACCCACCCCACAATGTCCTCCTCCCCTCCCCTCCTCTGAAATGCCCATACAGCAGCGCATGGGGCGGGGGACACACACGCACACTTCAGTTTGTTCAGGTCTTTTTTATCATTATTATATGTATTTTTTAATCCTACCAAGTGGACTGGGGGTGGGGAAGTCAAATAGTTACTATATTTACACAGTGAATGGATTTAGGTGATAATAAAGGCAGATGTTGCTATAGCAACTAACATTCTAGGATCCCATACACATCTTTTTGCCTTTGTGCAAAGTGCACTGAATTGTAGCTAACATCTTCCAGAACAGTCCAAGCAGAGCAGGGCACAGCGACCATTGTGGTCAGGTCAGGGCCTGCTCACTGTCGGGACGCTTCTCAAGCATCAGCTGCGCTGCTGGCCCCCGGTAGATCTAGATGCCGGCCCAGTCTCAAGGATGGACAGCCAGCCAGAGGCCACCCATCTCCCTCCTGAGTAAACTCTCACCCTTTTAGCCTTTTCTTTATCCCTTTTTCCTGCTGGTTCTAAATTATGCTAACTGGTTGATGGCACCTGGATCATTTTCTGAACACCACCTGGCAGTACAGGGTAGGTGTCCACTCGGCCAATATCCTGGCTGGGGGAGAGGGAGGCATGCTGTGTGCTATCCACAGGGAGTAGATCAGGCCCTTCCCCTGGGACCACATTCCCTAGCAGGAGTCTCCCACACCTCCTTCCATTCCAGGAACCCAGAACGCTCTCTCCTTCACCTACCTAATAAACTGGCCTTCCACGCATCATAAAAAGGGGCAGTTGGCATTCATTTAAAGGGAGGTCATTCTAGCCCCGCCCCTGACCACCTAGGAGCTGGGTGGCCTGTGAATCTGAGTCCCCTCCCCTGTCAGAGACGCTGCACCTCTGGAGAAAGGGCTAGCCTGGTTGGATTCACTCACAAGTAAGTATGTGGAATCTAAAAAAGTCCAACTCACAAAAACAGAGAGTAGAATAGAGGCTACCAGTGGCTGGAGGTTGAGGGAGATGGGGAGATATTGACCTAAGGGTAAAACTTTCAGTAAGATGAACAAGGTCCAGGGAGCGAACATACAGTGTGGGTGGTGACTGGTATGTCAACTAATTTGATTATAATAATAATTATGTAATTTGTAACAAATCATTACATTGTAACCTCAAATATATATGATCTTCTTAAAATATTTTTAAATTTTAAAACTTGTAATAAACATTTTAAAAATAAAAATTACATTCCTTCCCCGCAAAAAAAAAAAAATGAATTCCTTCCAAATTGTAGAAATCAAGGCATCAGCAGCCAGGTGAAAGATATGCTTTCATGGCAGTAGGCTCCCATAATGACACACGGGCCATCTCCCAGCAATATGGCTGCACCCGCTCACTCTGAAACAGCTGGGTATCGTGAGCTCAGAGCTTGGTAGAGCAGGCAAGCAGGAAGTGACTGTAGACACAAGTTGTGATGGATATTATGGTGCTCTAAAGAGGGATGCCAAAACTAGAGGGAGACATAAGCAAATGGCCCAATCCTCAATCTCTCTGAGCCTCCACTTCCACATCTATGAATTGGAGACCATGTCTTTCTCATGGAACAGACATTGTGATAGACAGCTTTCTGTTCCTATAACAAATCCCTGAGATAAACAGCTTATACAAAGGAAAGGTTTATTTTGGCTCATAGTTTTGAAGATTTCAATCCATAATCATTGGCCCTATTGCTTCATGCCTGTGACAAGGCAGCATATCATGGCAGGAGTGCATGGTGGAGCAAAGCTCTTTACCTCATGTCTAGGATGCACAGAAGAGAAAGAAGAGACCAAAGTCCCACAGCCACTTTCAAGGGCACACCCACAGTGACCTTAAAGCTTCCACCACTTCTCAATAACACCAGCTGGGAACAATTCCTTTAACACTGGGGGACTTCCCAGGTTCCAGTTGTAGCAGGGTGGTCTCTATGATTGTTTCCACTCCATGCTTGGCCTGTCACCTATTCCTAAAGACTCCTAGATAATCACTATCCCGATACTCAGACCAGGCTTCTTAAGACCTACATCCATATGGCAAGGCAACAGCTGTGAATCCCTCAGATGCCTCACACTGAACACCGTCACACACCACATAACATTGCAGTGGACAGTGGATGCGGATGATATGGGATATGGGTCCCATAAGACATATCCATGTGACCTTGAAGCTGTCTTAGTTTCTATAAACAAACTCATGATGTCTACCCAAGACAAAGCTGCCTAATGATGCATTCCTCAGAACATGTCCCATGGTTAAATGACCTGTGACTATATATCACTGACTGAGTTTATCGTCTCTCCCTGTAAACCTCTGCCCCTGTTTTCTTTGAATTGGAAAGGCTACCTTCTACCTCTTGCCTCTTCTTACATAAAATCTACTCACCACTCAGATCTATGGACTTCACCCCCCAAATATTTCTGAATACCTTCTCTACAATCCTTAAATAATTGCCTTCGTCCTGACCGTCAATGTCTCTGGCCTCTAAAAGGCCTCCCTCTCCCAATCTGGTTCCCCAAAATAAATAAAAATTATTAAAGTAAAATTTTATTTAGTAAGAGTTATATACACTCTCCAAATCCCTTCTAAACTGTAGAAATCGATGGCCTATCCTGTGAACTTGACTTGCCTCCCAGCCCTCTGTTGGCTAATCAATTCCCTACAAAAAAAATCCTACTGTTTCTATCCCTTTGGTAGAACCCTGACTGGTGCACTGGACTTCAGAGATCCGATATACTAGACTTCAAAGACTGGACTCAAGTTCTTCCAGAAGAAAACATACTCAGGAGCTCTTCAAATGCTGTCACTGTACAGTAGGTTGACAGCATCCGTGAAAAGGGAGTGAGTGGGAGAACCTCAGTACAAATGGGTCAACATCTTGTCCCAGATGGCACAGTAGGACTGTTCGTCCTCTTGACATGTTCCAGAAAGTCCTTTTTAACATGCAGAGAAGAACACACTGCTCTCTGTCGACTACAGAAACCTCCAAACACCTCTACAGTGCTCTCCAGGATGCAGCCCTATCCCCCCTCCAGCTCACTGCCCTCCACCTCCTCATGCTCCTCACCCCAGGCTCACAGACCTGCATCCAGTCCCCTATAAATCCATGGTGACCCTCAGCTCTGTGCCCTTGCTTAGCTATGTGTCACCTCTACTTAGAACATCCTCGCTCGCCTTATCTCCTTCCTCTCTCCCCCCACCCCCCCATTTCCCCATTCATTCTCCTACTGGCGTCATCTTCTCCTGAAAGGCCCCTCTGATCTCCTAGGCTGGATTCCTTGAGTGCCACATGCACAGACGTCTGGTGGCACTCACCACGTTGTCCTCTGTGTGTGCGTTCATCTCACCCGCCAGACTCTGTCACAGACTAACCCTAACTTGTTTTGCAGGGAGTTCTCGCTCCTCGCACTCTGGCCCTAGCAAGAGTTCCAGATTACATCTGATTGAAGCAGGAATGAATGAAATGTTTGGAGGAGATGCTTTCTCTTAAAAATTTAACTGAGCTCCACATCTTTAGGGCATTCTTTTTTATCCCACTGGGCCAAACAAAGTTAGTTATGTTAAAATGGATATCCACCTCCAGATTAAGCTGGGATGGTCAATTTTCCATGTCAACTTAACTAGGATACGGTTTCCAGTTACCCAGAGAAACACTAATGTATGGCAGTATTTTGAAGATGTGGTTAACATCTATAATCACGGGACTCTAAATGAAGGAGATTCTCTTCATTAAGCTAGGTGGGCTTGACTCAGTCAGGGAAAGGCAGAGAACTGGATCAGAACTGAGGTTTCCCTGAAAAGAAGAAATTGTGCCTGGGGACAGCAGCATCAGTTCCATCCTGCCCTTCTTGTCCTATGAACTGACTTGCCTAGCCAGTCCTCTGTGGGCTAGCCAATTTGGGAATGGGGGATCCCACTGGTTCTATTTCTTTGGTAGAACCTCACTAAGACACTAAAGATTTCAAATACCCCTTAGAAGCTTGGGCTGAGCTGACCCTTATTTCAAACTAAAGTTCTTACAGAGAGGAATACGCTTAGGAACTCTTCAGATACTGTCACTGTACAGTAGCTTTACAGCATCCTTGAGAAGTGGGTGGGTGGTGAATATCATACCGCCCTTGCTCCAGGAGAACCTCAGCACAGGTTGCCAAGGTGGCACAGTAGAGCTATCATCAGGTGCCCCATGGCCCAGGCCAGCTCTCCCCAACAGACCACGTCTGAAGCCTCAGTAATTTGTATTGATGGGAAGAAAAAAACTGCTGTAGGTAATTGAACTTGAACAATTAACGATAAACAAACACGCGCCTGCAAGCCAGAGCTCTGGCTAACCCAATGTACTCTGCTCATTTAATTTGACATGAGTCGTTTAGCTTAATTAGGACAATGCTTCATGGCATATTAGCAGGAGTCCTGTGGTATCTGTTGTGGAAATAATGAAGGCTTAGCAATGAGACCTGCTTTAGCTCTCTGCTATTAAACCTTCACTGAGAAGGGAGGTGAGGCTGCCAGACTCCTTGTGGAAATGATTGGGTTTGGAAATTAGCACTGTTAGAAAGAGCAAGGTGAGACAGAGCCTGGCAAGGGCCCCAGACTTGAGCAAACCCAGGAACACTCAGCTCACGAGCCTGAGGACCATGCTGACTGCGGAACCTCATGACTACCCAGCTTTGCAGGTCTCAGCAAGGCCCGGATCAGGCCCTCCTGCCAAAGGCCAAATGGCAGGAGGACACAGCCCAGGCAGATTTGGAAGAACACCCCAACCCAGGTCCTACGTGGTCACACTGAAACTCCACTAATATAAACCTTCTCTAGGAGACCATTTGTCTCTTGTAAAATGAAGGCATCAACCCAAACTGTTCCTCTGCCCCAAGTTTCTGAGATGTCAGAGGGGAAAGAACTCATTCTTCAAAGACACTTCTTTTATACTGCACTATCTTGGTCTCACCCTCTCCCTCTCTCTTCCTCCCTGTCTACTCCCCATCTCAGAATCCTGTCTCTCAGGATTCAGTGAGTCACCACCTTGTGTCTTGAATCTGCATCCCCTTGATGCTACAGCTCTATCCCCATGGTCCATGCTCAAGATCCATGCCTCCCTCCTGCTCAAGGATGAAAACTGAGTCTTTGTTCCTTTCCTCTGACTTCGTAAGTGTGCTGGGTCAAGTCACCCCATCGTGAAATGGTTGTAGGCATGCTCAGAAGTTGGATAGTTAGATGGGCTTCCCTCCTGACCCACACCATTTTAGCTTGAATGCCAGCCCTCTAGCCTTTTTTTTCCCTAGGATAGCTCCCCCTGTCCTCACCCCTCCATGCAGACTCGGTAGCTCTTTCCTGTGGTCCCAGAAATCATTGCTCATTCTCTAAACGTGATTACCTTTGGTCATGTCCATCTCCCCCCTACACCAAGCCCTTGAGAATGGCCTTTTACTGATGCATGACCCTGAGTTCATGCCATGCCTATAGAGGCACTGAGTTCATTTAGTTCACATAACTCATGAATCAACCGAGAGGACCTATACTCCTCCGGACCCCTGTACATGCACTCTCCAAGGCTCCAAATGTCATTGCCGAGAGTTGACTTTCTTTATTTTGTTTTACCAGATAGGGGGCCTGAAGATTTGTGGGCTCTTTTTAAGCCTTATCATTATAATAGCTAATGTCCCCACCATTATTTCTCCCGGATCTCATACAGCAGACTTCTGGGACTGTTTCTACTGACTGAGAAACTTAGGACCATGGGGATGGAGCCGTGGTATCATGGGGATGCAGATTCAAGACACAAGGTGGTGACTCACTGAATTCTAAGGGATAAAATTCTGAGATGGGGAGTAGACAGGGAGGAAGAGAAAAGGGAGAGGGGGAAGACCCAAGATAGGAGTGATGGTTCAGTATAAAAGAGATGTCATTGGGGAATGAGCTCTTTCCCCTCTGACATCTCAGAAACTTGGGGCAGAGGAGTGGTTTGGGTTAATGCCTTCATTTTACAAAAGGGAAATTGAGGCTCAGAGAAATGAGTGCCTTGCCCAAGGTTTTATACTGGGTTCTGTGGCAGAAACAGCCTGGACCATGTCCCTGTGGCTCCCAGTTCACTGCCTTCTCTGTAAACCTTGGGGAAAGAGATAATTCTGGAAGAGAGGATTGCCCGGGCTAAGGCCTAGGTTGGTCTCACCTCCCCACTTCTCCCAGTTTGAGGTGGTAGGTTACTCCCTCTTCCTTGAAGGACTTTCTGCACTAATCACACCCCTATCTGTCACTCCTTCCTAGTCTCTTTATCTTCTCAATCTTTAAATGTTAGAAGGCCCCAGAACTTGATCACAGACCTCCTCTCTCTATTGCCACACTCCATAGAGACCTCATTTATGTCTTGCCTGGGGTACCACCTGCCCCTGGAAACCATCAGATTTTTGTTTCTACTTCTGACCTCTTATTTCCAACCACTAACTCAACAGCTCCCCTTCAAGGTTTATGTGGGGTCTTTAACTGAATATAATTAACACTTAATACCCGATTTCTACTCTCACCTCCCAAAACACTGCATCCCACTCAGTCTTCCTATCTCAGGTCAAAACCCTGGAGTCATTCTTGAGTTCTTTTTTCTCTCTCTCTCATCCAATATCCATCAGTCAGCAAAGCTGTGCTATTCCTACCTTAAAAATATAACCACAATTTGACCTCTTACTATCTCCATCCTTCCATTGGTCCAAGCTGCCAGCATCTCCCTCCAAGACTCTTGCAGTACCTTCCTAACTGATCTCCCCACCTCTACCTTTCCCTTAAAGTCAGAATGGCCCTTTAAAATTGTTAACCAGATCAGCCAGTGTTCAAAACCTCTGGGTGGTTTCTTGTTTCGCTCTGAATAAAAGTCCAATGTCCCTTGTTTTAGTCAGCTTTTGGTCACTGTGAACAAAAAACAAGACAAGAACAAAGTACAGAATGAAAAGTTTATTTGGGGTTCATAGTTTCAGAAGTCTTGGTCCCTAGATGGCCAACTCCATTGCTCTGGGCCAGATGAGGCAGAACAATATGGCAGGAGGGCGTGGAGGAGGAAAGAAGCTCAGGACATGCAACCAGGAAACAAAGATAGTGCTCTCCTCACCAGGAACAAAATACAAACCCCAAATCATGCCTCCAGTGTCCTACCTCCAACAGGCACACCCCGCTTGCCTGCAGTTACCACCCTATTAATCCATACCAGTGGATTAATCCACTGATTAGATTCCACCTCTCACAATCAATCATTTCACCTCTGAAAATTCTTGCATTGTCTCACACGTGAGCTTTTGGAGGACATCTCATATCTAAACCATAACATCCCTCCTGTCACCTAGAAGAATCTTGGTGAAACCTGGCCTTAACCCCTACTGCCTGAAGCTCACTCAGCTTCAGCCACGCTGGTCTCAATGCTATTCATTTAATGTGCCAAGAACTAATCTCCTGCCCCTAAGGTCTTTCCTCTATCTGGACTATTTTCCCTCCAGAAATCTGCTTGACTTTCCCCATCACTTCCAATGGCATGTCCTCAAAGAGCACCTCTTTGGCAAAGATATTTTTATATTGTATCTGAGAGTCCTAGAAGGAGCAGATGGAGTACTCATTTACAATCTTTGGAAGATCTTTTCATGAAGGTGCTATTCACAGAGGGGAACCAAAAAGAGATTTTTGAGGTCCCCAAAGACTAGGAACACCCAAAAGCCAACACCACCGTTAGTCCTAAAGGAACAGGGGAGGAAGTGGTGTTCCTGGCCCCCTCGGAGAGCTAGAGTCATGGAAGTAGGAGCGTTTGTGGGAGTCGTGGCTGTAGGAGAGCAGCCATTGCAGAGCAGTGGCCAAACAGAGAGTGGAAAGACAAAGACCTCAGGTCTCCTTATGGTCAAATCCAACTGTAGAATGGGAAACCAGAGGGCCAGGGAGCCCTGCTATTGCAAATCCATGCCCCCTTCTGTGTGCTCTAATGACCAGTGACAATCCAAAGGATGAAGACACAGACAGCTCTGGCTCCAGAGTGATAAAAATGTAGAGCGGAGTCCCTCACTGTCCCACAAAGAACATGTAGCATGTGGGAAAAACAAACTCCTGAGATTTGGAGGTTGTTCCTGCAATGTCACTGAGCTTACCCCAACAG